GCCGATTCCCCCTACTCCTGTTTCATCTCCCTGGTGGATGCCAGCATTGAAGATGGAGATCTTTTCCCTCGGCCCTTGTTTTTGGGAAGTGGCCAGAGAGAAGCACGCGCTCCCTTGCCCAGAGTGTATTCCGTGCTCTCACAATTGCTAATTGTAACTCTTGTGTCAGACCCCAAAGGTGGCACATCATTATTCCAGGCCAGTCGGCCAGGCAGGAAGGCAGGTACAGGACAAGACGCTGCACCTGCAAAGTGTCATGCACTCTCCAACTAATGAATGCAGCCTTGCTAAGGAGTTAGGACACGGCTGGCATCCTTAATGGGACGGCGACTAACAGAACAGCCAAGTCCCACGGCTGCGCTTGTGCACAGCAGCCGAGAGAAACCGGGGGGACGTGAGACCACAGAAGCCCCACTTTTTACTGGGGAAAACTGCACAAAACCCAAAAAGCCATGTGGTCAGTGTAGTGGTAAGAAGATGCACTGGAAATTTCTAGGGTGAGATGTGGGCATGATCAGGAAGTACTTGGAAGAAGGAGGGAAAACACGCTGTAGATGGAAGACTTGGATTTGGACTCAATCTAAAAGTGCTTTTAGGCCACAACGTAATAGCAGATCCAATTCAAACTGACTTGAAAATGAAGTTAGTTTATTTTCTCATGCAGTGGCCCATGCTGTAGGGGCCACCGTGCCTTCAGAACTGGGGCTCCTATTCGCTGTCCTCTGCGTCTCAGCTTCTTTTGTAGGCTGGCTTCCCTCATGGGAAAAAAGAGGCTGCCCAGATCCAAGCCTGACATCCACACACCAGCCTGTCCAGGTGACCCAGCGTCCCAAGTGAGATTCACTCTGATGGACTGGCTTAAGTCACAAGCCTGCACCCGGTCCAGTCACTGTGGCCAGGGGCGTGGAATACACTGGCCGTCTTAGTTTAGGTCGCAGCCCTGTACCTGCAACCAGGGGTGGCATCAGATATTTGGAATGGAGAGATGAACGCCCTGATGCTTGCCTGCGAGACACAGGAAGCAGAATTTCGAGCTGCACTTGCTGAACCCTCAGCTGTGATGTCACCACCATTAATACACAGTAGCATTGGCTCCAGGTGGACAGAGCCTAGATTCTTCAGTGAGAAGTATTAGGACCGAGCAGACAGAAAGGGATCCAGGTTTTGATAACCAAGAGGCAAAAAGCTATTCTTTGAAGAAAGAGGCCACATCAACCTTGGTCAGAGCCTCACTCACCTTGGTCAGATGTCTCCTGCCACCACTTGGGATGTCTATGCTATGCTGCAGTATCAAACAACTCCCAGACCTCACTGGCTCCATGAAGTCCGCTGGGATTGCAGATGAGCCTGTGGGGCAGTGATCCTCCACGCGTTGACTCCGGGATCCAGGCAGGAAGCCTCTCCCCGGCCCTGCAACTGCGTTCCCTGGAAACCCCCGGAAGCAGAGCGGCAAGGAAGCGGCCAGCCGGAGGGTGGAGCGCCGGGAGTTAGATGCTTCCACTGGAAGTGACACCCTGCACTTTTGCTGGCATTCATTGGCCACGCCTGTCATCAGGGGACAGGGCAGTGCAGCCGGTGCCTAGAAGTAGAGGTGAACTGGCTGGCTGAGAGTGCAGTGGCATTCCTGTGCTCCGCAAGCAAGAGCAGAGAACCGTGCCAGGTGCCACGCCTGCCTCCTGCACTTGAACCAGCCTTCTCTGATTCCGCCTGCCACCCGCAGGAGCTTGTTTCCAGAAGGGGAGGAGACTGGCAATGGAAAGATTAACCGCTCCCTGGGTTCCACACGGGGATCAGTATGTTCAATAGTACTTTGTGAGTTCAGCCTCAAAGTAAATGGTTAATTCATCTTATATCAACAGCACTGTGATTCATAATGTAAACTTGGAGAATCCTTGATGTTTCGGGCCCACATTCCTGTTAATTTGGCTCTGCATTCTTTTAGAGCCACAGAGTGCTCACTTAATAGAATGCAGCATGCAAATACGCAAGTTTTTGCCTGGAGGCAATTTAGCCTGGCTGTTTCAATGGATGTCTTCTTTCAAGTGTATATTCTTTCTTAAATTATTTACTGGGTAAACACAGTTTGCATTTTCAAAGGGAGATTAAGACTGCTCGCTGCAGACCCAGTTGAGCGGCAGCCCCTCCCTTGCCCAAAGTTAGGAGCCAGTGACTTTGGGCTTCCCCCTAAGTTCCTGGTCTACCTCACTCACTAGCCGGGAGCTCCTCTGCCTGGCTTGTTTCTCGAACTCTCCCTGAACTGCATTCCTTTCTGCTTTGGCCAGAGCGACACAGGCCCACAGCCCTAGCTTTGTTAACATCTAGGCTTCTTCACAATTGGGGCCCATTGGTGCCAGCCTTGTTTCCCCGCTCCTGGCTGGCTCTGTCCTGTCCACTTGAGAGCCCTGACAACTCGCTGTTCTGGTCCCTGTGAGGGCTGTATTTGCCCAGCTCCTTTGAGGTCGAATACTGGATCAATGGCCTGGCCAGTTAACGCTTACTCTCAACTCTGTTCCAACTCCGTGTGTGCTCCCTGTGTGTACCCTCTGGGTCTGGAAACAAATGCCCTCTCCCTCTGGCTTCCTCCAGCACACACCTCCCTTCCCCGGGCGTCTTCTGCATCAGGTGGAAGACCCAGCAGTGCTTGGAAAAGGTGTGGTGGTGAGGAGTTCCATCGTCAAGGGCTTGTTTCCGCTTCGAACTGCAGCCATTTCTGTGCAAACTCTCTGAGATTTTTCTGCACATTCTCCATCCTTCCTTGATCTGAATGATCTCGACGACCAGGGCCTGCGTCCTCCCATCAGCATCCTTTGGACAGTTGTCTGGGCTGTGGGCTGGAGTTACAGGGTGTCCTCCAGCAGGTGCGCCCAGGCCAGTGTGCGGAGCAGCAGAGCGGGTGCGGAAGGGGAAGCCACCAGGCTCTGTGGATGCACCAAGGAGGGGTGAAGCCCAATTAGGAAGACCAGGGAAGAAGCAAGGACTCGGGGACTCCTGTGTGTTCACTTTTTTAACCACGCCTCGGATAAAACCAGTAACACCCACCAGTAATCCTTTATCAGCACCATGAATGCCTGGGAGGGCCTCAGCCCACAAAATAAAATGGTTGTCAACCGAGCTGTACAGGGGACACACAGCTGGGCATTACTTCAGGCAGACTTTTAAAGAATCCTCCTGCTTTTAATCTGTTTTACTGCTGAGTTTCCATGTTGCCGATTCCTGTCGCAAGGCTGATGCGGGTGCCTTGTGGTAAGCAGAAATTCTGACAGTGGCTTGGGCGAACGTGATGGGTAGGACTATTCCGAAGATCTGTTCCTTCCAAAGAAAGGAAGAAACTCAGTGTAGGTTCTAAATGGAGCCAGCACACAGCCCCGATCGGAGTTCGTGATTAGACTCACTTTAATAAGCCGTGAAGTCCCGCTTCTATTTACTTGTTTGGGGGACAGTGGGTGTCGCCGCCTCCTGAGTCAGAGTGGCCTGTTAAGTCTGAATTAGCTGTCATCGCAGCAGAATTAATGTGGGGGTGCAGGCTTTCTGGTGGGGAAGGGAAGAAATAAACGAGACGGATCTTCGCTGAGCCCGGCGTGATAAATGAGGGCCGGGCCGACCATTCATCTCCCGTGAGGGACGTGGACACAGCAGCAAAGGCAGTTGTGCGGAAGACGAGCCAGCAAATGTGATCATTTTGTAACCTGTCAGGAGGAGAGGGAGCTGGTCCTCACGGGGGGCGCAAGGGAGTGGGCTGGCCTGAGATGACAGTCTCCAGCCGCCCGTTTAGGCGGGGCCAAAAGGGGCCGGTGAGGAGGAACCTGGCCGAACCCAAAACGTGGCACCTGCCAGGAATTACACCCATCCACAATCTAGGGAAGGCTGCGGGTACTCTGCAAGGGTTTCCTGGTGAAGCTGCAAAGGAGGAGGGTAAGGGCCACGTTGCCTGGGGCATGGCTGACTCCCACCAATCCCCCGCCCGGGGAAGACCCCTGTCCCGTGTTCGGCATCTCACACGAGGCCGCAGACCTCTGGCTGCGTGACGTCAGGAGATGGCCTGATGGGATGGGTGCGGTCTCAGCCGGGTGGTCGGGCGGCCAGACGGCCAGGCACTCCGTGTCTATTCCTGTGTGGTTCCCTGATAGCCAGCGTGGGCGAGGCTGTTTGACTCGGGTTCCCTTTGAAAGTCTCAACAAAGGATTCCACGTTCGACCTCTTTTCTCCAAATGAGGTAACAAATTATGAAACAACTTCATCAGAAGCTCTCCGCAGGGGCCGGGGAGCCTGTGTCTCCACTCTGGTCCTCCTCCTGGGTTCCTTTGGCAGGGCCAGAACCAAGGGCTTAGAATCCCCAGAGGTGGGCGTCCCCTACCACCAGTGCGCAGTGGGCACCTGGAATACTTTGTGATTGCTCATTTCCATCCTTTTTTTTTTTTTTTTTTTTGCCACGGAGCAAATGTAACATTTCCCGCTGCGTGCTGCAGCGTGAGCCACAGCGACAGATGACGGGTTCCTAGCCTGAGCTGCAGGTGTGACACTGCTTCTTCTTAATCCCATCCTCTCCTCCCCAAATCTGTCGCTCTCTCCCTCTCCCACTTTTCCCAGGGTATTTTTGCACCGGTAAGTACCTTACTGACACACGTTTCCTTGGAGTCTTTTGCTTGAACAGGAAACGCTGTGAAAAAATGAAGCTCACATTTTAAATTAAAGAGACGCGCACATGGGGCCCTTGATCACCTAAAGAGACTGCACAGAACTCGGAGCCTCGCAAGGCATTTGATTCGCTCGAGCGTTGCTGTGAGCGCCGCCCCCAGTGCAGGGAGCCCGGGCGTCGCGGAGACGCGCATGGGATGTCTGTAGAACCAAAACCCTGCGTGATCACATACACGCGTGCGCCACACCCCCCGGCCCTCCCCGCTCCGAAGCCGGGGTTTGCCCAGCCGCCCTGGCCTCTCCGGTGGTCCTCGTGGGAATGTCCTGCGTCACACGTGTGTTCTGTCTCCTCTGCTCTCCTCCAGAATCATCCAGAACCGCCTCCTGCTCGTCATCCTGGGCATCGTCGTGGTCATCACCATCCTCATGGCCATCACTTTCTCTGTCAGAGGACACTGATGCATCTGCTCCCCCGGATAAACAGCGACGGCGGCCTGTTCTGAGTAATTAAGACAAAATGGTCACATGAATCATTCTTCCGCGCTGACAGCCCCTGGGTGACCCCGCTGTTCGGCTGGAGGGCCGGGAGTGTGAAAACGTTTTCTGTTCCGTTTGCATGCCTGGTTTGTCTTCACCCAGATTTGTGTGTTGAGGGAAGGTGGATACTCGTTTGCCTTTTGGTCACTTCCTCCCCTCACCAAAACTGCCCCGGTGCCATGCTTCAGTACCTTGTAGACCGGCCAGGGCTCGTGGTTTGCCAGAGGGCATGAGGGGTCAGTCACACACCTCTTGTCACCAAAAAACCCTTCTGTGATGGCCGAGGATAAAAATGCAGACAAAAGCAGAGCCCAGCAAAGGAGCCCTGTCCCCGCCCAGGCGTAATGAAGACACCAAACTCGCCCGAGTATTTATTTTTACAAAGATGGGTATTTAATGTCAGTTGTGCAGGAAATTGACTTAGCACTTTCCTTGTTTTTCTGTTGCATAATTTCTTTCTTTTTTTTTTTTTTTTGGAAACCTAAGAATATTTTTTGCTGGACCTGCCCAATACCCACTTTTCACAACTTTGGCCACTGGCTACGAGAAATATTTCCTTGCCTTCCCCCGATCCCATCCACTTCAGAAGTTGCTGGCAGAGCGAGCCCTAGCACAGAATTTAATTGTGACCTTGTCTTCCCTGACCTGTGTAGGCGTCTCTGTCTGCATTCGGTTTTAATATTTGCACTGCCAAAAGCGGCCCTGCTACATGCAAAGGTCTGACAAGGTCCCCTCCACACCCAGGCCAGTATGCAAAGAGGACATGAATATTTCAGCGAGAGCAAGCTCACGGCGCTGTCGGTGTGAAATTTCCAATGTGATTATAAACGTGGGCGACTCCTATAGGGTGATCCACTGGAAATAAACTTGAAGGAAAATGTTCACTCACCTCCTTTAAAAGAATAAGGGATTGTGACTTGGATTTTTTTTTCTTTTTACTAACAATAATGTCAACCAAGCCTTCCTGAATTCACTGTGCATTCAAACCTCTAGCATGCTTTGTGATCATTTTCATTTCTTTCTGTCTGAGGGAACCTGGAATCGCGCGCGAAATGAGCCCATTTGTGATCAGGCTTAAAAGTTGCCCAGGCTGAGGCCATTTTCCCCCAGTCGTAAAGCCAAATGTGTTTTTCTTAAGACTTCATAGGCACTTCTGGGGTCCGCTGCACCAACGTCTGAATGCCATTGGAAGCTTTGAATGCCTGAAAAGCAGACTGTTCTCTTTATAAACAATGCTAACCACCTGTGCGCAGGGACCAAGGGCACCCAAAGGTAGCACTGGGTTTTTTGGTTTTTTTCTCCCCAACTCAGAAGGGAGAACCAAAGTAGTTTCGTGAGGAAATGACAGATGCACCAGAGGAATGGGTCTTAGCTCCGACGGATCATCTGGTGCTGTGTCAGTAGAGCTGCCCTTGACTTTGGAGGGATGGTGTGGGATTTAAGCCGAACCAAGTAGGACAGCAAGGCAGGCGGAAGCCTTGCTGATTCTCCCATCTGCGTGGGCCCCACCTCATCCTGCTGATAGCAGGGTTCTGTATGGGCTAATCCCATGGAGGAAGCCATTACGAAGCGAGGACGCCCCCTTCCCATTCTGACACACTAGCAGCCCGTGCGGGCGCTCTGCCATCCCCTCTGCTGGCCTCCGTTGAAGCTGTGCATCCTGGCGGGGGTGTGTAAGTGGTCACCCCCTCCAGCTGTCCCGTCCACGAGCTCACAGACTCTTCCCAAGGCCAGCTGGCAGGCCAGGTTGATCCGAGCATCTCAATGTGCCGGCTCTAAGTGTTTCACTAAAACCAGCGCTCGTGTTGAAGCAGACGAAATGAGAACGAAAAAGAGTGCATTGTTCACGACTCCGTGGCTCCTTCAACGTCTTTATCAGCTCTAGGCTGTGATTTTGTCCCCAGTTCAACCTTGGGAGTGGTAAGGCTATGAACAGAGAATTCTTGGCCTAACGGCTCCCTCAATCCTCACCTAGACCCGGCTGGTGAGCGCCTTGGGAGGAGGCGGGTCAGCAGGGCCCCTGAGTGCCCCCTGCCCGCCACTCTAGGGAGCCCCACAGGAGGCTGGGCGCCTGCCCTCCCCCATGCTCCACAATCTGAGAGAGGTTCTAGGTACCTTGTGGGCTCTGCTTGATGGATATTTCCAAAGTCGGGAACCTTTGTTAAAAACGCTGTTGGACAGGATGGGGTGGGGGTGGGGGGATGAAGAGGAAGACGTGGAGGAGGAAGATGGCAAGGAGGCCCTGGCCATAGAAAATTCATGCAGACTAAACCATTGCCCTGGCAGAATAAATAAAGCGATGATGCTACCCTGCTCCAGAATCAAAAGCAACGCAATTAAAGTCTCTTAAGTTGTAAAGAGTTTTAAATGTTCCGTGTTGAAGGCGAAGGCCTGCGAACGGGCGGGCGTGACGTCAGCCGCCAGGCTGGGGCTGGGAGCCATTTGCTATTCTGTTTCAGGCAGGCTGGATTGTCTTATTTTGGAACCAGCTTGGTGGGGGGTTTGCTTTGCTACTGCTTCTGAGCCCTGAGCTTCAAAGGCTGAAATTAATGGTGAACAAAATTGTGCGGCTCTGGCCGTCCCATGCGGGGCAGGCCCATTGAGGGTTATCATTAAGTAAAGAAATAAAGAGGGGGAAAAAAGCCTGCTTGCTCCAAAAACCTCATCAGATAATGACCTCAGTGATTGGGTTTTCATTTCCAAACAGCATCCAGAGATTATCAGCCCCGAGAAGGAGGGAGGGAAGAAAGGGAAGAGAGAAAGCCACTGTCTTCCTCTCCCTCTTTCTCCTTTTTTTTTCCCCTGCACATCTTTTCTTTAAAACTGTCAGATCATTTCAGTATTTCAAATCCGAGGAAAACAGCCTGCCTGCTGCTGTATTTGAAGTTGTAATGGTGTCAAAAAGTCACGACTGACTGACAGCCGTCAGTCCCAGAGGGGCTCATTAAATCATAAAAACTTGACAAGGAAATAATTGCGCATCGCCAGCAACTTGGCGCCTGTTTAGACGTTTTTATTTTCTTTCATTATTAGTCTCCAGCATTACGTTCATTAACAAATTGCATTAAACAACTGTTAAGGGCTAATGATTTGTTTATCGCTTTTTTTTATTATTATTATTTAAACATTAGCTGTGTCACGTGGTACCCCAGCGGCTTCTTGCCATCATCTGACTGAATATCTTTCCACTCTGAGCTCTGGGTACTGTTGGAATATGAAATAGATTATTCATTACGCTCCTCTTTGCCAGTGATTTGGTTTCATGTAGCGTCTTCCACAGAGAAAGATGAAAACTTGTCAAAAATAGGTTATATCTTATTCGAGGGGCAACAATAGCAGCAGGAACAGGCACACTTTAATATTTAATTAAGGTTGATGTTAACCCCTTTCAATGACTTTAGCTGTACGTTATATTTAAATGCAGAAGAGAAAAATAATTGTTCTTAATTTGCAACCTGTTCAGCAGGCATTCTTCGTGGAGTTCACTGGAAATTTAGAGCAGGATTTTTTAAATAATGAAATTTCCCATCATCAATATTTATAGCAGTTTGTCTACGTAGTCCGAGAATGAGCCACAAGCGACGATTTCCTCATCTCTGGTTTGAACTGCCAGCCCGGTGGGGCACCACGTGCTTGGGAGCAGAGGGCGCTTTCCTGGGGGAAGTGAGCACTGGGTGGCCAAGTCCAGAGCCAAGGCCGGTCGGGCGGCCGGTCGGGCGGCTGTGGCCAGCGCTGGTTTCAAAGGGACGGCTGTGAGTCTCCAGTCTCTGGGCCACTTGCCTTCCCCTCTCGCTGAGTGTGTGGTTGGAGGAATGTGGTCTGGGGCGAGAGTAAGCAGGGACGCCTTAAAGGAGGACTTGTGTGTCCAGACTGCTGGCTCTGGGAGGCTGGGGCAGGAGGCGTCCTGGGGGCTATGCCGTCGCCTGGAGCTCATTACAAACAGTGCCTTCCTCGCAGGCGACTGGAGTGGCACTTGGTGGGGATGGGCCTTCCATCCTGTTTCCTTTCTGTGACTTTTCGTTGGTGACTTGAGCTGGTTTTCCGTGGGCTCTGAGCTTGAGGGGCCAGAGAAGACAGACTGCCCCCTGGTCATCCTCAGCCAGGTGTGTGCCGTCCTCCCTGCCTTCCCGTTGGATGAGTTTCCCTGACATTGGAAGGTGCCCCAGAGGCCTGGTTCGTGAGCACCCTCAAGACTGGGGACCAGAGAATTTGGAATACCAATCTCCCTTCCTCTTTCTGCTCCCCTCTTCCCATCCCCACAGCACCTGCATCCCCTGTGTGGCTTGGCCATGGGTGTGCTGGGAAGAGATGGTGTCTCCTGCGCAGGACAGATGGGCCTGCAGGAGGTAACATATAGGACAGACAGCCTGCAGGCACGAACAAGGGGAGACCCAGTCTCAAGCTTCGTTGCTCGTGGTTGGTATAGAACAGCAGCTGCCCCATGGTCCAGAGTGTCTCCTGCCGCCATTTCAGTTCAGGCCAAATCAGCCAACCTCCCCCTTAGACTGGCCACCCCACCTCAAGAGATGTCCCCAGAGCCATTTTTCCTGTGATGAGTGGCCCCAGTGCAACTCTGAAGGCCCTGGTTGAGGGTGCTGCCTGTGTCTAGAACTCAGTCCTCAAACTTGACCCGACCCCATGCTGTAACTCACTGACTTTAAACTTGACCCAAGACACGGTCTTGTTTGTGCGGCTGAAAGAGTGGCACCTGCCAGAGGCGGGCCACACAAAGTGGCTGTTAGACCAGATGCCGGCCTTTTCTGTTTACTTGTTTTATAATGGGGCAGCTGACTTGTGGACAGCCCAGGAAAGGTCTTGAAGCCACAGGCACTGCACCTGGGGACTGTGTGTGACTGGAGCCACAGCATCCTGAAATGGGTGACTGAGTTGAGGTCAGTGTGCCTTCCTGCTGTGGGCTGCCCAGAGAGGAGACCTGTCTGCGTGAGATGCCAAGTCAGTAAGCAGAGACAAGCCCGACAAATCCAACGTGGCAGAGCCAGGTGGGTAGGAAGGGAAGAACCGGCGGATCCCCCGGGACCCGAGCGTAGGAGGTGGTCAGTGGGGCGCATCCCGGAACAGAAAAGGAGAACCAAAGAAGAGGAAAGACCGGAGCTTGTCTTCTGGGACCCCTGCCCACGGCACACGCAGTCCTGTTGCCAAGCCTCCCGGGGCTCCCCAGCACGCCGTGGGGAAAGCACTTGCTCGACCGGAGTGGCCTCGCGAATCGCGCCGCCCCCGCCACGCAGGCACGGGGGAGAGGCCACGCCGCGGAGCTCTGTGCCGTGATGCCGTGAACCCGCGAACCCACACAGCCCTCCTCCCTTCATCCACACAGGGCCCTTTGGCGTGAATAATAGCGCTCTGGCTCCGAGGCCCATATTGATCGACTGCACACGCAGCTCCGCCGAGGCCGCCTGGGCTTGTCCTGGGGGCAGGACGGCCCCGTTCAGCACAGCTGCCTCCCCCAGCTCCCTGGGCTGCCCCAGGTGTGCTCAAAAGAGGACAGGAAGGGGCGGTGCGGGGGGCGGGGGGGGTGGCCAAGGCCCCTCTCCAGCTTGGCGCTGCTTTGTTGCTGCAACTTTTTTATTTTTCACTTATTGTGCCAGGAAAAGTAGCTGTGTCGCAGAGAAATGGTTTTTTCATGCTGAAGCCCCACAGAGTTGAGAATGAAATCATCCTCCGGCACCAGCCCCTCTCCAGAAGATTCTGCCAAGGACCCAGGCCGCCTGGGCACCCTCCGCTGACCTTCACGGGGGCCCTGCGGCACGGCCGGCATTGGACTCGACCTACTGACTGCATTTTTCCCTTGGTTTTCCTTATCTTGCACCATCAGGAGGGAGAGCAGCTGAGGGTGCAGCCAGAATCCAGCTCCTCCCTGCAGGATGGGCAGTTGTTGTTGAATTCGGTGGAAAGGCAGCAGCCACACGCTGGTACAGCAGCAGAGACCGGAGCCTGCTGGCCCCACTGCGTGACACTGCCCGCAGCGTCCCCTTCCCGGGCTCGCATCACTTCTGGACGCAAGGAGTGGCCGAGGCCTTGGTGTCTCTGAGGGATGTGCCGTTGCCCGCACAGTGGCTCCCTATGGGCTGGAGATGCCGAAATCGCAACTCCTTTCATTTCTGACCTTGAATGCAAGGAAAATGCGGATTGAATTTGTTCCCTAGGCAGCCTCATCCCTACAGGTCCTCCCGGGTGAGTTGTCTGACCCTCTGCTACATGCAGATCTGGGGCTCGGGAAGAGAAGTCCACCCCACGAGGAGGCGCTTGGTGGTCTTTGGAAAAAGGATGGGCAGGGAAGGGACCCCCGGGTTTTCCGGGACCAGGTCCCCAGAGGGATAGGCTGGCAGGTCCCACAGCAACCGCGTCCTTGCTGGGGAGGAGGGAGGACGAGGTGCCACGCAGGGGTGGAGTCAGCGCAGGGAAGCTGAGTCCAACAGGTTGTTTCTTTCTGGGAGCTGCTGCAGCCTGGGCCAGCCCCGGCCCTGCAGAGGCAGAAGGAGGTCCAGGGTCCCCGGGTGCACAGTTTGGCCTTTGGGAAAGGACTCAAAATGGATTCCCCACGCCCTGCTCAGACCCTCCCCACACTGTGGTTTTGTGACCCTCAGAGCCTCTCCGCTCCGTTCCCATCTCACTCATTCACCCCAGCCCTCGCTTCCAGAGCTCTGGGCTGTGTTTCTAAAGAAAACAACTTTAGAGCAAGGAGAACTGAATGGCTTCAGCGAGCTCATTATTGTCCCCAACATGGCTTCTAAATATTCAAACCCTCCCCCGTTTGAAGCAGGAAATGTGTAATCAGATTTATTCATCCAGGCAATAAATATTTATTGAGTAGCTACTGTATTCCAGGCCCTGAAGACATGTGGTAAAGAAAATAGATAAGAAGCGAGATAGTCTCACTGCCCCGGGCGGTCACTCCCAGGATCCTGACCTGCTCTCTGGTCTGAGACAGGTTGCTCTTGGGGTGTCTGTCACCTCGAGGTGCCCCTGCCTCTCCCACTTTGCACTGCTGCTCCGGAGGTGAATGCCCCACCCTGAATCACATGGCCAGTGGACAGTGCTCAGTGCCCTTTCCCCCTTGCAGTCCCACGACTGTGTCTGCACAGGAGTGTGGCTGGAGTGACAGCCCTGGTCCCCTGTCCAGGCCCAGCCCAGGCGAAGCAGGGGATAGGAAACCGGGACTATGGAGACCAGGCCTGACTGGTAGGATCTTTTGTTTGTTGTTATTAAATGAGAAAGGTTGGATTGGCAAGCAATCATAAGCCCAAAATATCAAGGGGGGGGGGGTTGACTAGTGGCTGAGAGGTGCTTGCAGGGGCGTCACAGGCCAACGAGGTGCATGGCTAAGTCATGGGCTGCAAGCAAGCGGGAGTTGGAACAGGAGCCCCTTCCAGAGGGGCTGCCCACCCCCACCATCACTGCGTGGAAAGGGGAAAACACAAGTCAAACCCAGGTTTGTGTGCGTGGCTGATTTGGCCCTCTCACCTCTGGACACGGGGACACTGTGCTAAGTCTGGACACAGGAGGTGCCATGCAGCCACAAATGCAGCCTTGTGTCCCCTCCAGGCGGGCCTCCCCGAACGCCTGTGCCAGCGGAACAGAAAACAGCCGGGGACAGCAGGGATCTGGAGCGAGGCAATGTGGCATCGGCATCCTTTGAGCTCTGACATCCTCAGTGGTGACGGTTTGAGTGCCAAAAAGCCGCCAGGTGGAGGAGCTCAGGTTCATGGGACCTTTGAGCTGTGCAGGCCTAGGGGCCATTCTGGCCAACCTGCTCATCTTCAGGAGGGGAACGGGGCTCAGAGAGGGGATGAGATTTGCAGAAGGTCATCCAGCAAACGTGGGAGCTCACTCCAGCCTTACTGGGACTTTTTTGCACCAGGAAGAGCAACCTCCTTACTGGGACTTTTTTGCACCAGGAAGAGCAACTTCCAGGAGCACCAAGAGCTGGACCATCGTCGCTGTCACCTCCCCTTCCAGTCCCTTGCTGATCCCTCCATCCAACAACTCCAGACCAGGTCTTTTACCAGCCTCCCTGGGCACACCCCCATTCACACTGCTGGTGCTGAGGTTTCCCAGATGGATTTTA